AGAGCAGGCCTCGGAGGCTCCAGCGCAGACGAGACCCGGGTCTTACGAGCAGGGTCGGAGGCTGAGCGCGCCCGCAGCGAGGCGACGCCTAAGGACCCGTGTGAACCCCGAAGCCCCGACCGCAGCCCCCGCCCCAGTTCCGAAAGACGGGGAGACACCGGGACCCCTGTGAGCCCCGCAGCCCAGCGCCCCTTCCCCGCCCCCGTTCCATGACCCGCCCTCAGCCGACGCCACGCCCTGCCCTACACCGGCCCCACCCACACTCGACACCACGCCCTGCCCCACACCGGCCCCGCCCACACGCGACGCCCCGCCCTGCCCCACACCGGCCCCGCCCTCAGCCGACGCCACGCCCTGCCCCACACCGGCCCCGCCCTCAGTCGACGCCACGCCCTGCCCTACACCGGCCCCGCCCACACTCGACACCATGCCCTGCCCCACACCGGCCCCGCCCACACTCGACACCGTGCCCTGCCCTACACCGGCCCCGCCCACACTCGACACCATGCCCTGCCCCACACCGGCCCCGCCCTCAGTCGACGCCACGCCCTGCCCTACACCGGCCCCGCCCACACTCGACACCGTGCCCTGCCCCACACCGGCCCCGCCCTCAGTCGACGCCACGCCCTGCCCCACACCGGCCCTGCCCACACTCGACGCCCCGCCCACCCCGCCTCGGCTCCGCCCCCCGTTCCCTTCAGCTGGCGCTTCCGTCGGTTTCCTTTGCGCCGGCCCATTCTGTAGGTCGGGCTCACGCACAGGAGCCTCCCCAGCTAGGATCAGCTCCTACAACGCCAGGGCCCTCCCGGGCTCTGCCCATTCTTAGGGCCCCACCGCCCAACACCATCGTTTGAAAAGCATCTAATACAGTGAATTACTTGATAAACCCTGTTTACTCAGTATACTTCCAAAAAGGAAAAGATGTGGCTCAGAAAGCAAGCCCTGTTTTCAGAACCTAATCTAAGAAGAACGAGTGAAGCAGCTGAGCAGTGAAGAAAGGTAACTACCAGAAATGGAGGTCAAAGGAAACGGCTATTGAATAAAAACAATGAAAAGCTGAAATCTGAGCTTCCTGGCAGCCACAGAGAAAAGGGTATCAATGAGGAATCCCTCTCTTACCCAACACGAAGTGCACCAGTTCATAAGAACAAAATATTTTTCTAGCACTGAACTCTAAAGGGAATACTTTTCACTTGGATTTTTACATAACTGCTAGTGACTGTACAGTGAATGAGGAACACGATTTTAAATGATAGTTTTACAAAAAGGAAAAAATGCCAACCCTCTCCAGGTCTTTTGATTCATCTGCAATAAAAGAGGACTATAAAAACTGAAACTCCAAGATGATGTCCTCCCGGAGAGGTGCACTCATATAAACTAGGTGTACAGCTCACTTATGATCTTCTTGTTTTTTCAAGACAGAGTCTCATCACTCTGTTGCCTAGGCTGGAGTGCAGTGGTGTGATCTTGGCTCACTACAGCCTCCGCCGCCCCAGTTCAAGCGATTCCTGTTCCTCAGCCTCTCAAGTAGCTAGGATTACAGGTGCGCACTACCACACCTGGCTAATTTTTTGTGTTTTTAGTAGACATGGGGTTTTGCCATGTTGAGCAGACTATTCTCAAACTCCTGACCTCAGGTGATCTGCCTGCCTTGGCCTCCCAAAGTGTTGGGATTACAGGGGTGAGCTACTGCGCCTGGCCTCACCTATGATCTTGATTTGATATAAGATAAGCATTTCTGAAACCTAATGGACTGATCAATTCCTGTGTTCCCTGAGCGAGGCTCTCAGATGCTGGCGGTGTCCCCACACCCCTTGTCTCCTCCTGGAGGCATGTGGCAGGAGCAAGAAGGTGCACCACCAAGCAAGTTGCCAGTCAGGGTGTGCCACTGGAAAACCCAGGGAAGAGAGGCATGCTGGGGGCACTGCAGACATTTTCCTCTAAAAATTACATGACTGTGCTTGCGTCCTGCACAGTGGCATAGGGACAGGCTCTCGTGCTGTGGGGAAGGTGTGGCGTCTCCTGTGCATTCAGTGTCCCCACAGTGGTCAGCTGGGCCCACAGTCCTGGAGTCCACGCAGGAGATGACGGATGTAAAGGGTATTTTGAGGACAACATGACTTATCGCAGCAGCCCGGAGGGATCTTCACATCACTGTAACAGACTCTGTAACTTCATGGAGGGCAGTGTCCCTACAACGTGCCAGGACCGTGAGCACAAGAGTGTCCTGCCAGATAAGTGAGTTTGCCTACTACATGTGTCTGGGTAGCATTTTCCATGGAGAATCTGCCAAAAGGGACATCTTCTGGCATAATTTACAGCGGCCTGTTCTGTCACTAACAGGCCACAGGTTTCCTAGCTTCTGGAGAGCAAGACGCAGCCCCACGTCAACAAGATGAGTACATGCATGTTTCTGTCTAGAGCCGAGACCCTCAACCCAGGTGGGAGAGGTCCCAGAACCACATCCGACACTGCACCATCCAAGACTTCACACAGCCCACCCCTTTCCGCCCGTTCCTGACCCAGAGTCTGTGCCTGTTGCATTCAGAGGCTACCCAAAGAACAAAGACAAGACAGCCTGAGGTGCTGGTGCTGACGTCTGTGTCCTGGCTTCTGGGCACAGCCTGCCTGTCTTCAGGACAAAGACACACAGGCCCTAACCGATAGGGTCACCAGCACTCAATCTCCATTTCTCACAAGGCAGTGTCAGGAACCCAGGACAAGACAAAGGGCAGGGCCTCAGCCTGATGGGCCAGGACCTGCAGACCCAAAGGCGCAGCAAGTAAGGAAACGAGGGTGGAAACCAGGCTCAGAGGCCGCGCAGCCAGAAGGGGCCGTGCTGAGGGCTGAGCACCGGGTGTGCCACCCCTTTCTGGGCGACAGGGCCCTGGGCAGCTGATCCAAGTCGCCGAGGGCCGCCCCACAGGGCAGGGCTGCACAAGGTCCTGAGTGCCAACACCCAGGGGTCTGGTGCCAGGCACGGCAAAGGCAGAAACAAACAGTGCTTTCCTCTCTCTGCAGCTTCCTGGGAGCCACAAGGTAACAGATATGTGAGCCCAGCGTGTTCAAAATGGAAGCTGGCGAACTGTTTCCAAGAGAGACCATGGCGATGTTGGCCGTGACTTTTCCAGCTCCACTTCTCACCTCTGTGCTTAAAACTGCAATCGAAGGAAGGTGAGGTGCGGTGGCTCATGCCTGTAATCCCAGCACTTTGGGAGGCTGAGGCGGGTGGATCACTTGAGGTCAGGAGTTCGAGACTAGCCTAGCCAACATGGAGAAACCCAACTCTACTAAAACTGGAAAAAATTAGCTGGGTGTGGTGGCGGGTGCCTGTAATCCCAGCGACTCGGGAGGCTATGGTAGGAGAATCGTTTGAACCCGGGAGGCAGAGGTTATAGTGAGCCAAGATCCTGCCATTTGCACTCCAGCCTGGGCAACAAGTAAAACTCTGTCTCAAAAAAACAAAAAACCTGCAACTGGAAAAGCTCAAAAGGTCTCCTTCTTGCCGTGCCAACCTTGGAGGGTCAGAGGGAGAGGGGTCCCATCCTTGCTTCTCCTGGCCTCTGGCAGCTGAGGGCCCTGTATCGGCTCCCCAGCTGCAAGGCTGTGCTCAGGGCTTGCTCTGGGCCTTTTCTCCTTCTTTTTGAAAAACAAAGGTAGGAATCACGAGTAAAGTGTGGCCATGGCTACCTTTTCTCCAACTTTACCATCTCAAGTCACTGGTGCCAGCCCATCCCGACAGCCTGCCTGGGGGAGGTGGCAAGGGACCTGGACAACAGGGAAAGAGCGACGCCTCAAGGGATCCTGGACACACGTCCTCAAGAAGCAGCTTGCGAAAAGACATGCCTGCCTATTGGTGCAAACGCCTTTCCACTTCCTGTGAGAACACTGCCCTGGCTCAGTCCTGACACGGCACACGCAATGCTGGCTCATGGCCAAGTGAGCCTTCTACCCTGGGGTCCAGCACAGGCCTGCCCTCGGGAACGTGAGCCACATGGACAACTGGGCACAACAGGGCGTGAGAGTCGACCTTGGACACCAGGGAGGGTGGGAGCAGGTGCCAACGCGTTTTCTTATTCCACAGGTTAAGGAGACAGCGAAGCATATTCACCCAAAGTCATTTATCTTCATAAGAACACAATTAAATTTTCTAGTTAAATAATCTATGTATCTAATGACTGTTTTTCAAAGATTTGCAACAGGGCTTCAAAGGATGAATCCATTATTCCCTAGTTATGTCGTTTTTGTTTTTATGGTTTCTGATCCTTTAATTAGGACGCCAGAAAGATAAACGCAGTCAAAAATCACATTTTGTTGATATTCAAATTAATTAACGTTTATAATATAGAGTTTCTTACTTTATATTGTTACAGATCATCTAGGTCCAACTTTTATTTGAAAATTCTAAATCCTCTGGTGCTCCTTAAAAAAGATCAACATACAGGGAAAACCCCCCGAAGGTAAAGATGTTATGGGTGACTTCCGCTTTTCCACGCTCCAAAGTGAACTGTATGAAGAGGATACTGCATGTTCTTTCATTCATAAGATATGCAACAATAGCAATTAGAATAATTTTTTCCAAAAGAAATTCAAAATAAGTTATTTCCTTGATTGCAAAGTCGATGTACGATTTCAGAAATTTTGAAAAACTTGGAAAATCAAGGAAATAATGTTTTACTAACCCAAGACAAGTTAACGGTTATTTAATGGTATTTACCATGTAACCCTAGAGTGCTTCCAAAGCCTTAAACAGGGGCTACAGACGCATTCCCACTTGAAGTCTCCCCCATCTAAAGCCTTTTTTCCTGTCATTGGCAAGTTTTTTAACCATCATTTGTACTGGCTGTAAAATACATGGGTACGGTTCATTATACAGCGTAACAACGTGCTCACCCTCCCCACCCAGTACAAACTTAGATAAAGGTATTACAATACGGAAAATTGGGAAATAAGTAGTTCATCCGCAAAGACGTCCGCCTTTCCTCCCGCCCACACTTTACCTTCTGTGTCATCCCCGCTGGAGACCTTCTCGGGGCTCCTGCAGCTGCTGGGCTCTGTCCAGCGGGGGACGTAGCCCTCGGGAGGCCCTGGGGCCGTGTAGAGCCGCCTGGTCGTCAGGGTCTCAGAGCCAGCGTCTGCTACACAGGAGGAAAATGACAGGAACCGGTAAATTTCATGAAACGCAGTCATTTATTTAACTGCCCTGATTACATCAGCATCATTTCTCTAACCAAATTCATTCAAGACATGAAATCAAATAGGTCAATAAAACGTAACCACTGTCATAAATACTGATTTAAATACGTCAAGTATTTTCCCAAAAAAGCAAGTCAGCTACACATCTAGCCAAGAAAAAGGGAACTACCCGTGATTATTTAAATTCACATTAAATTACTTATTATGTAAACTTCTGGGTTTTTGTAATACAATATAAAAACATAAGTAATTTATGAGTCTCAAGCAGCAAATAGAAATAGTCCACATAACACAGCCTTTGTCATCAGACCAGGAGTCCCTCGGGACTTTAGGACACGCACTTCTGGGTCTTTTTCTCCACACATGCTAACAACATGTATACACTGTGTGTGTCTGTGTGTGCACAGACACACACAATAACAGACACACATGCACGCAGACACACAAACATCCAGAAAACACAGAGACAACACACAGATACACACACACAGAGACAACACAGAGATACACACACAAGACATGCGCAGACACTTAAGCATCCAGAAAACACACACACACACAGACACACAGAGACGACACAGACGCAGATACACACAAATACACAGACAACTCACCCAGAGGCACACAGACACAGACAACATACAGACCACACACACAGGGACAACACACACAGACAGAGAGACATGTACAGAGATAGAGAGATATACAAATACACAAGTGCACAGAGACACACATACACCTTCATGGGATTGTGTCACATGCTTTAGTATACGCTTACATAAGTTGTACATTTGTATCTTACATGTATAATATTGTTTAGAGTGAATACAGTGTGTTAAAATGACACATGGTAACTCAAATCTGCACACTTTTAATGGCTCCATCACATCCTAGGCAATGGAATCGTAACCAGGACTTAACCACTTTCCTCCATGGCCGCGTGGAGCTGACTGACCGTGGACGGCTGCGGGGGCCTCCCTGCTTTGTGCCCCTCTGTGCACATGGCTGCTTGGTTCCTGCACAGGGAACTGCTGGTTTAGGGGCAGGAGATTTTGGGCTTTTCATGGACAGTCTGGAAGGCAGTAGGGCCACTTCCTCTCAAGCTGTTGTCCAACGCTGGGCAGCCTCAGCCTGTTTAGTCTTCTGTTTTGCATGTAGAATATGGCAGTGACTCTCTTGCAGGTGACAAACACAAGTGGACATCCCAGCTGGAATTTCACCAAACGATAGGCCTTTTATTTTGAAAACAACAATTGCAGATATTGAGCAAAATCACTAACATATGCAATAGAATGTAACCATAAAAACCCTGAAGCCTTTCCAGGTTCCACTGTCGTCAATACATTCTGCTCTCTTGAAGGTTGGGTGCCAGAATCCCAGTTCTTAAAGTAATCTGATTCACCGTGGCTCATTAATTACTATGCTATTCACTGCAAGAGTCAAGGGCAGATGGAGACGGCTTCTAAGCACACTGTCCCGTTGGGGAAATCAACATTTGATCATTTTTCACAGAGTATTTTGGAAGCTTTTAATCAGCTAAATCTTTCTTAATAAGAAAGTTAAACAGAACTTAGAAATGTCATTGTTCACTTAATCATTGGGATGGACACAGGAGCATCAGGGAGCACTCCGCTCATGCAGAGAAAAAAAGGACACAGCTAAGAAGACGGGTCCAGGACGTACCGCGCCAGGGACACAGTTCCGGTCTGTGAGGCACCTGTGGCCAGGGCTGGGCTTCTAAGTGGCATGTGGGGCCTCCTGCCAGTCACAGGCACCAGACAGACACAGAGCAGGCACCCCGCGGGGCCTCAGCCTGCCTGTCTGTGAATCACGGTCACCATGTTTATCTACAATGGCCTCTGGTTCTGATTTTTATGTTCTTTTGTTTAAGTTATGGTTTACTGTGAGGGCACTGATGCCTTGCACAAGCTGGACGTTACCTGTCTTGATCAGGTGCAAGGAAGAGACCAGGTACCTTTATAGGGTGGGCAACAGCGAGGGTTCCCCTGATGCAGAGAATGCGGTGCGTGTGAGCACAGCTCCCCTGTACCTGGCATCTAACAGTCACTACCCTCCAGAAAGGTCACCCTAAATCACATTCCTTTGTTTTTTTTTGAGATGGAGTCTGGCTCTGCACCTAAGCTGGAGTGCAGTGGCACGACCTGAGCTCACTGCAACTTCTGCCTCCCAGGTTCGAGCAATTCTTGTTCCTCAGCCTCCCGAGTACCTGGGACTAGGTCAGAATGCCAGCACCCTGCTGGAAAAGTCACAAGCACCGGCATCCCTCGGGGAAGCAGAGGAGCGTAGTGGCTCAGAGCCCTGGGGTGACAGGCAGTGGGTGCCCCGCGGGTTCCACCAACATCACCCCTTCGCAGGTGTCACTGCACCCAGCTCCTTTCTCCCGGTCACATTCCCCTCGGCTTCTGTGGGCTGCTCCTGGCAGCCAACAGCTATGGAGGGGCTCACAGCCAGCCCCTGGCCTGCTTCAGGAGAGCGCAGGGTACCTCCCAGCCCTGTGCGGACCGGACCCTCGTCCATTCCCTCGTGGCTCTCCCACCATCTTTCAAAGTTCATCCTGTCTTTCCCCACAGCCCTTGCACTTGCTTCACCGAGAAAGCAGAGAAATCAGAGACTTTCACAGGCACCTGCCACGAGGCCAGCTGTGAGCAGAACCTGCATCTGACACAGATCCCTGAACACAGGCTGAGAGAGTGCACCGGTTCCTGCCTCCCTCCCTCCCCTTAATCCCCTCCCTCCCATCAGCCTCCACCTGTGCTGGCTCCTCCCACCCTCCACTCCTCCCCTCCCTCCCCATCAGCCTCCACCTGTGCAGGCTCCTCCCACCCTCCACTCCTCCCCTCCCTCCCCATCAGCCTCCACCTGTGCGGGCTCCTCCCACCCTCCACTCCTCCCCTCCCTCCCATCAGCCTAGGACTGTGCGGGCTCCTCCCACCCTCCACTCCTCCCCTCCCTCCCCATCAGCCTCCACCTGTGCGGGCTCCTCCCACCCTCCACTCCTCCCCTCCCTCCCATCAGCCTAGGACTGTGCGGGCTCCTCCCACCCTCCACTCCTCCCCTCCCTCCCATCAGCCTAGGACTGTGCGGGCTCCTCCCACCCTCCACTCCTCCCCTCCCTCCCATCAGCCTAGGACTGTGCGGGCTCCTCCCACCCTCCACTCCTCCCCTCCCTCCCATCAGCCTAGGACTGTGCGGGCTCCTCCCACCCTCCACTCCTCCCCTCCCTCCCATCAGCCTAGGACTGTGCAGGCTCCTCCCACCCTCCACTCCTCCCCTCCCTCCCCATCAGCCTCCACCTGTGCTGGCTCCTCCCACCCTCCCCTTCATCCCCTCCCTCCCCATCAGCCTCCACCTGTGCTGGCTCCTCCCACTCTCCACTCCTCTTCTTCCTTTTGGAATCCTCCGTGGGGCTCACAGTGACTTTCCTCTCAGGAGGCAGCCGGCATTACCAGTGGCTGCATGTGCTGGAAGGACTCTTAATGTGTACACAGATGCACACATATTATTCTTTCCTTTTAAATGAATCCAGCAGCTAACTCTCCTGGCCTCTTGCTTTTTCACCCATGGCCTGTCTGGGTGCTGGCTCTGAGGCTCCCTCCCGTCTCTCCTGACAGCTGCGAATGGTCCCAGGGGACAGGGCGGCCACCACTCACTCTCCAGCCTCCTGAAGGTGCAGGCCTGGCCTTGTCTTCTCTGCACAGCAATGGAGAAGCCTGAGCACACCGGCCCCATGCGGGCACCTGAATCAGCAGGAGACAGGGCTGGAGGCAATGCCAGGGGCCATGTGCACCTCATCCTACCCACTACACCCCACACCTGAGGGGTGCCGCCAGGGCGTCCAGATAGAAGTTTGGCTCAGAATCCCAGTGACAGGCCTGCAGGCCCCCAGCCCCAGGCGACGCTGCCTCCTGCCACCTCCTGCGTCCCTCATCAGACTGTCTGCTCCCTCTCCTGGCACTGAGCCCGTGGGCTGAGGGTAGGTCTGGGGTCAGGGCAGCCTCTGCTTGGTCTTTGCCATTTTGGTCTCCCTGCCCCTGCCCACCCTGCACAGCCCTTGTGGAAGCTGCACAGTGCCTGCCCCCACAGCTACCCACCCGGGTACCCCTCTCAGGATGGAAGGGAGTTCAGGGGTCAGCAAAGGTTTTCTGTGAGCAGATGCCAGACACACAGGGGATTCAGCATAAGCAGCGGCAGTGCATGGGGTCTGAGAGAGCAGAGGGGATGATGGGTGTGGGGTGACCTGGGCTTGAGGCCCTGGGAGAGGCCACCCCTCGGACAAGGAGTGTGGGGAATGAGGCAGCTTCCTGATGGGCCACAAGGCACAAAAGTCCCTGCGTGTGGGGCTGGGCCCAGGCTGGAGAGCTCACGGGGGCTACAGAGGTGTGCACCTGAGACACAGGAGCTGTCGCAGCTGGGAGTGGGTGGGGGCAGGGGAGCCACAGGCATGAGTTCTGGGTCCCCCAGGTGCAGGGGCTGTGGATCGGATTGAGTTTAGCATGCAGAAGGGAATTAGCCAAAGACAGAACACTAATATTTTAAGACATCCTGTAAACTACCCTCCAGAAAGGCCACCCTAAATCACATTCCTCTTTTTTGAGATGGAGTCTAGCGTTGTAGCGCACACCGGAGTGCAGTGGCGCAATTATCAGCTGAACTGCAACTTCCGCGTCCCAGGTTCAAGCGGTTCTCATTCCTCAGCCTCCCAAGTAGCTGGGACTACAGGCGCGCACCACTACGCCCAGCTAATTTTTGTGCTTTTAGTAGAGACTGGGTTTCGCCATGTTGCCCAAGCTGGTCTTGAATTCCTGATCTTAAGTGATCCTCCCACCTCGGCCTCCTAAAGTACTGGGATTATAGGCATGAGCCACCATGCCTGACCCTGAATTACGTTTCCACAAGCAATTTATGAGTATCCATTTTCTTG